ATCTAGTATTAACTAAATTATCGTTAATATAAGTTTTTAATTTTTTCTTATTAAGTATTTCGATAAATTCATACCGACATAACTATTAAACTGACACATCATAATTCGATTTGTTTACCACATAAGTATAAACATTTTATTTTATTTTTAATCGAGGGTTTGTACTTTTATTTTTTATTTAAATATATGTATTTTTATTTTTTTTAGTTGATTATTTGTACTTTAATTTTTTTTTTGATAAGTATTATTAATTTTAAAATCTAACGAATAGCCACTATGCAATCTTATGTAGACCATATTTTGATAAAGTTAACTAAATTTTTTAAAAAAATTAAAAAGTTAACAGATCAACAAGTTGACTGTTAAAAATGATAAGGGTCACATTTGTCAAAAAAAAAAAAAAAAGTTTAGGGTTTCAATTAACTCAAATTAGTAGTAAAAATATAAAATTTTCAAATCATAGTCGTTTGAAGGCAATTTTTACGATTAAACCAAATTTATAGTATCTAATACTTGATCTTCAACTTCTAATCTTTTCATGGTACGTAATTTGAGATTACAGAAGTATCAATAAAAGACCCATCAATTCTTCTACCTCCAGTAATCTTAAAACCGAAGTTTAAGAATAACATGTTCATAGATGTGATTTGAATTTTTGGATACCTATGACTGTGTTTTGCAATTATTGACATGGGCAAGCTCTCGCTAAGCAACCTATGTCTCAATCAACAATTGTTCAACAACTCTCACCTCAATGTATGTCTAACAAGTAACAATCCATCTTTTTAGCCTAAAATTAAACTTTGTCGAATGCAGACGTGCAAGCATATGTAAATTGATGTTGGAGAACAAGTCAAACTTGAACCGTCTAAGCCCTACAGTTTTGATCCATAGCAATATCAATTATTTTAAGAATAATGACTATTCTACAAACTTAAAACAATATGGTCGTGTTTGATTCTTATTAGAGCAAATTGCTCATCTTCAAGTCAAGTTGATCCGAACTTGACAATCTATATATTAGAGAGTAATATAAATTATATTCCGAGACCTCACCTAACATATAAAATTTTTTTAAAAATAATCCTTTAATATAGTAATAGAACTTAATTAACCAATCATACATAAGTTTTAAGCTCAGATGTTGAAGTTTTTTATTTGAAGAGATATGTTAAAAAATAATATAAATTATATTTTGAGTGTTACTTTGACAGCTTAAGGTTTTAAATAAAATGATCATGTAATATCATGTCTATCAATTGAAATCTAAGGGGCACGTTCCAGCTGCTCAAAATTTCTATACTCTTCTAGGAGTAAACACTAAAGGTGAAAACTTCTAATCCTGTTAGAACATTTATGGATCAAATTCGATTACATCAATTGCTCAATCAAGATGTGTTTGGGCTAAATTTGGTCATATTAGTTGCTGCTCCACCAAGTTTCACTTAAGCAGTTACTGCGCAGTAGGTGTTTGCTCAACCACCTCTTTTTTAACAACTCGAACGACCTTTTTGTTCCTCGTACTTAACTTGTACCTTTAATTTAATCTTGTCAACTGTATAATTTCAGACATGCGTCTGAATTATTACGTTCAAGGGGACGCTCAAACTCTCCCATGTTAGATCACATTAGAGCAAAATCCAACGCTTCAAGGTTCGATCACGTTAAGAGACAATCCCACACTCATGTGTGGTGGATGATGAACAAAGGGCCATATGAAGCAAGCTTGTGTTTCTTATGTAAAACAAAATGGTTACGCTAATTATTGTGATGCATATCATCCACAACCAATGCCTGAATTGAAGCTAGTTTATTTTATTGGGCTAATCAAATGTTGATAGAATTTTTTTTTTTTTTTTTTTTTTTAATGCTGATAAAAATCCTGGCTTTCATATGTAGTCATGGAATTAATTTATACTTTTCTAATCGAAAAAAAAAAAGGTCCTTTTTTTGCCATTAAATTGGGCCATACGCCCATTCATCTGGTCGCTTCTACGCTCTTGTTCAATTTTTCCATTTAGTGGGCTCTTTTGGAGCCCATTTATCGGTGCTTCTAAATTTCTACATAATTATTCTATCAGTTGGAGCTCAAGCCCAGCAAAAAAAAAAAAAAAAAAGAAGTAAAGGTTGCGGGCATCAAAGGAGCCTATTTACCAAGAGTTAGAATTTGGGCTTCATAGGCCTTTTAAGCTGCAATAATAAAACATCACTTTCAAGTTAAAAAGAAACTTCACGTGAATCCCATAAGATGGTCATGTGTGCCAACTCTGTCCTGGTGGCATTTCCAGCTTCTAGCTAGACAAAGCATCAGAAAGAGAATCAATTGACAGAGAGGAGTATATCAGCTATGTCCACCGATTATTGGACAGAAAGATTAAAGAAAAACAGACTCTCAGGTAACGATCTGAGCAGATGTTGTATTGCATGTTTGTACCCCATTAACATTTTCTATGTGAACGATAGATTCTTTACCACTTCTTTCAGGTCAACTCTTTACGAAAACTAACAAAGGGTTAGGTCTAAAGCCAACCACGAGCCTTCAAAATTCTCATGTCCACTGTCCAGATCACCGTCAAGACCTACTTAGAATTTAAAGTTGACGCATCATGCTAAGGTGGGAAGGCGTTCTTTAAATCGTTTGAAAAGAAAACTTGATATCAAATATATAAATTGATCAGAGAATATCCTTACCATTATAAAAGACCAATCCTTTATGTATTTATTTACATTGGCATCAGGTATTTCTTGCCATTTCCGGTAACACAAGTTCCAACAATTGTTGATATATACTTGTATGGTATATATGGTATTGTAGATGACCCCTTTCCTTTTTGAGTCAAGGAATTTAGCAGACAGAGATACTATTACACATGGGAGTACCTGTTGTTTTCATACAAATCGAAAGATCAATTATTATTTTGCCGTATCTTTTGTAGAATGGTCATCTGATTTGATTATAAACAGGTATATACAACAATTATATGTTCAAGGATTTCAACGCGTGTGCCTATGAGAGTGCTTAAAACATCAAAATTGCACGTGGAATTCACATGGTCACAATCTAATCCTTACATGGATTCTCTGTCTCCATTTCTAATTCTACATTTCCCCGCATTACCCCACCTGGTGACGCACAAGTTTGAAGGGTTTGTGTTTGTTTTGATTTTGAGAGTTGAATAGACTATCGAAAGAGTATAGAGACAAGGGTCCTCCAGAAGTGGCAAACTCCTGCGTTTTGTAGTTTCTCGTTGGATACCCAAAATAGTGTCTATCCCTCGACACCTACTTCACCCACTAACTGTACTTTTTTGATAGAGCTGGTAAAGCGTGCTCTCACCCATGATGATTATTATTATTATTATTTTATGCATGGCTTTTAATAATGCAATCTGGGATTTGAACTTAATCCAAATTTACGTGGTGGCTTTTATTTGCATCCTTTGCTTTACGCTTTAGTTATCACATAGTATCACCATCCACCATGAGTTGTTAGAATAATAATAATAATAAAAGCCTGCCACTACCTAGTTACACACGTGTACCAATTAAATGTGCAAAATGTGTTACCAGATCATGTGAGCGAAACATAACAACATAATAATTCTAGGAAATGAAATAAAATAAAAAAATAAGACATGATTAGGTCATCAAATGAGCCGTTGTCTAGTTTCTATTCAAATTCGTAAACAGTCTAAAGATGTGACGCTTAGAACAAGATGAAGCGGTATCCTTGACATCGCGAACTTCAAGCAGGCTTTTATCATTAGTAACTGCACTTGATTTTGAAAAGAGCTTTTGCTCAAGTACTCTTCCAAAATTGAAATTGAAAAAAATATTCTGCATAACCCACCGCCTGACACGGTAGTGCAATAAACCGAAGTGGGAATAGTGTGGAGGTTAGAGGTACGAACCCCCTAAAAGTGAAGTTGGTGCAGTTTACACTATCACAACCGATTCACAAACGATGTGACAGAATGTACTTTCTCAGCAAAACAGAGCAATCAAGAGACAATTAAACTATGACGCAGATTGAAGGACCTGCAATATTAACCTCCTGGTGAACTTTCTGGGGAACGGTGTTCATCAGCTTGTGCATCAAACAAGCAAAAGTAGTAGACAATACAGGCATCTCGTGTCGCAATCGTGTTGATTTTGACGAACCGCTAGGAACAGCATCAATCTAAATTTATAGCATGAGTCATTGAGCCAGACTTCTAAAGTTAGAATCACAGAATTGCAACTGTTATAATCAACAGAAACAATTGAAAAATATAGACATATTGTATGGAGCACAGTGCAATTTGTTTTGCACTTTTTTCACCTTCGTCAACATCTTTCACTGTCAAATCCATTGGTGGAATAATAAGGGCATCCAGAATTGAAGGCTGCAGCGTGACATTTGTCAACAAGCTTACAACAGCTTCCCAGCCTGTATGATTGTGGGGGCACCCTAACATATTGCGGCCAACAACCCTGTCTAGGTGGGCATGTTCTCATCTAACAGAGTGCAATCGAGGCATTTGAGAAGCCAAATGTCAATCACTGAGAGTGTCGAAATCATGCCTGGATCAAGTTAGCGGTTCCAGGACATCCTAAGTGACAAACCAATATGGGGTGACAAACTCCCAGTTTGTGGAAAGAGAAGGCAAGAGTCATAAAACGGAATGACACAAGAAGATAAAAATGTAAAAACTTGCTCCTGTCCCAGGTCCTCCCCATTTTCAAAGAAGCTGCACATCTAAAACTTTTAGTTCTGTCCTGCAAGAGAGCAAAATAGATGACATTAAAGGTAACCACAGTGGGATGATATGTCTCTACGTGGAATTCTTATAAAAAGGATGGCTGTATAACTAGAATCTTAAATTTACAAAAGGAGGTGGGAGTATGGAAGAGATGGATAATAATGATGATGACAACGTTAATAACAATAACAACGATAATAGAAGCATTGAAGAGCAAATCAGAACAGGAAAAGTTGGTTCTCAAGATCTAAAGCACAAATGGCCCAGTATAAACTTTTCACTCTTGGCAAAGATATTTCGTATGTCAATCACAGGGATACTGGTCTACTAGATGAGGATCTTTCAGTTAGAAGTATCTTACCAGAAGCAATGACTAGCCAAAAAGCTTAAATAATTCACAGTCCCTTTAGGGCCCCTGGCAGGTGCATATTAAGAATGATTTCGACCCACAACAGTTTTCATTGTTCCTGCTAGAAATGCCATCATCCTTCAGGCTGAGCACTGTATAAAAGTAATGTAAACATGCAATGACATGAAATAAAATTATATACACAGAAAGTAATAGGTAAATGGATTTGATTATGTTAGTATGTATTGATTCATGCAAATCCATTAGCAAATGAATAGCCAAATCCTGATGTGCTATTATTTTTTGGACAATATGAATGCATTCAAAAGAACTAGATAAAATGCTTCCATCAATGTGGTATGTCCATGCATTCATACACCCATACAACCACATCAAGCATGCATGGCAGATGTTGCACCCCCCAACTTGCGGGTCTCAGAACTATCCTGATTCTTCTGCTTGATTTGATCTTGACAAAGAACAGCCAACCAAAACTTTGTATCTATCTAAATGTTTCTCTCTATCTGCATCCATCTGAGACTCTTCTAGCACCCACTACTTCCCACTCATTAAACAGCCATGATCAAAATGCCCCATTCTTTTCTTTTTGCTAATCCAAACCTCTCCTTTAAAGTCTCGTTCCCCTTGCGTATCTAAATCTATTCCTACTGCTAGCCCCCTATGACAACTAAAGCAAACTGACATTGTGTCCTTCAAAGGAAGTTCAAAATGAGGGTAAGTCTAAACTTCCTAAATAATTTAGAATAGCATGCATATTAATGATCTTCAACTTATCTTTGAATTTCATTTTTGCAGGTACTAGGTTGGATGCACCACCGATCACAAAAAGCTAGTGTCGAACCATTCAAGGATTTTTTGATAGGTATTCAAACAACCCTAGCTCATTTTCTTCTAAAAGGACCCCTAGGTGTGCAACAGACATAAGATATGATCACATAAGTAGGACAAACTCACAAAAGTAATTTAATCTACCCCGCTCAGGGCCTAGAACCTATCTCTAAGTAGCTGATTCTCACTTCAAGAAAAGGATAAAAAAAAGGGTCCAACCCAAAGATTGATGATCTCTCAAAGATGGTCAATTGTGTCAGAAACATCTCAACTTTCAAGATTTTTCACCACCGGACGAGACCACCAATCTTCTTTGGTCTCAGGTCTGGCTGATCTGTGTCCACAATAAAGCTAGAAAAATAACCGTCAATCATCTAGGGTGTTCATAGGAAAAGAAAAGGGTAAAGCCACAGTGCATGTATCTCAGGACCTCTCACCCCTTCAATTTTGGCCTCCCATCTTTTGTAGCCACTCTGCAAATGGATCTCTCTCCTCAGAGATAAGGTTCAAAGTAGGTATATTGGCATAAATATTGCAGCCACCTGGTAATACAAATAACAAGCAGTGCTACTAGGTTGTTACATAGACCAATGACCCTCTGAACCACTACGCTCACAAATCTGAAGATTGTTCGGCCACTAGTTGGCCCATGCAACATGTGGTAGAAGGGATAGTAATATGTCCTGCTTGAACACTCAAATAAATTATCCTTTTCTTTTTCCATGTTTCAGGGAACTTCTGTACTTGCCTTTCAGCACAGTCATGCATTGATGGCCATGTCTCCCATACTAGGCCAAGCTTTGACTCCAGATATGGATCCAAGTTCTTAAAACAGCCAAATGAGGAATGTGAGAACACTTTCTCTGAAAATGGAGTGAAAGAGAATAACAGAGATGAAACATCTATCATTAGCTCTGATCATTTTCATGGCTTTCTCGCTATTGGAACCCTTGGTTCAGAACCAAATACCAGTGAGCCTGCAACACCAACATTTCCCATGTCTTTGGAGAACATAACAGAGGGAAAAATGGAGGTGACAGAGACTGACTTGAAGCTCATGAACAATGAATTAGACAAGTTTCTAGAGGCTGAAGCTGAAGAAGAAGGATGCAACGAACCATTAGCAAGGAGCAGTTACGTTAGCACCGTTACACTCAGTGGTATGCAAATGGAAGCAACAGAAGCTGAAGATTGTGGAAAGACGGTGGCATGTCCACTCCAAGGATATCTATTTGGGTCCTCAATTGAACTGCCAGAAACAAGAATTGGAGTAAAGAAGGAAAAGTTATCGCTTGGAGAGATGTTTCGTGCGACAAAAGTTACAGATGAAATTCCTTCAGAAAATGAAGTCAAAGGGGAGATGCAAGTCAAGAAAGCACATAAATCTGCCAAATACCTCATCAAGAAGATACTCACAAAGTTTCGCACTACTTCAGGAAACCCTTCTACTGGTGATGAAGCTTCAAATTCTGTTTCTACCAAGAAAAAACTTAATAAGGTGTGTCTTCCTCCACTATTTTCTATGATAAATTATAAGAGAGTGATAATTCTATCCACAGACGCATGATCCATGTCACTGCATTAACCTCGGGTCAAATAAGGTGAATCCTGATTTCATTTTAAAGTGCACTACCATGACAATCAGGGTACTTGTAGTCAAGCACAAAAACCAGTTAACCAAAAAAAATCAGTAGGAAATATATCTTACAACTTGGATAGATCTTACAGAGTAAACTAGACATTTTGTAAGTGTTTTTGACTTCATTTCAAACCTTATTATAACCTAACATCCAACAAGATCACCCCTTATGACTCAAACTTGGATTCTTGTCACAAGACTGTGATTATACCCAAGTACCTCAAGTTTTTGGATCAAGCTAAGCCATATTGATGACCAACCACTGTATTTTTCTGAGACGTTTCCATTAGACAATAATTCCTTCATGTTCACATATAAATAATATTGGCCACAAATCATCGTATGGAACTCTTAGTAGTAGGAACTTACATTGCCACTCTAAATAAGTTCAATGACAAAATTTAGACTGAAATCTTAATTTTTCTCAGTTTTTGGCATGCAGGTCCTAAAAATGTTCTATAGAAAAGTTCATCCTGAAAACCCACTAGCCGAAAAAGAGTATACGAAGCCCCATAAAGACAAGACAATGAATGCTCTGAATGATGGTGCCTATAATGCAGACCTGATGCACCAGATTAAAGACAACAGAAAGTTTCTTTCTGAATCCAAGTCATTGGAAGGGGTCAAATGCCATAAGAGCAACTTGAAACTGCCCCATTATGGTCATATTTGCAGTAATTCAGGTGCAAATGGGGAATACTGGATTAAAACAGATGCAGACTGTAAGTACTAACATGTCTTGACCTTTCAAAATCATAGAACATTTAGGTCATAGCATTTGGTTCACTTCAAGTATAGATTGCTAACTTTGGCACCATTATTCATTTGTTACGTTATGCATAGATGTATAAAATGTCAAAACATTTGTAATTCCTTGTATATACACATGAAACACATTTATTTACAAGCAAAAAAGAGGTTCAGAAACACAACTGCATTCATGGGAACAAGATATTCTAAAGGCAGCAATTATGAAAGGGTCAAATTATTACACACAGAACCATATTAAGAATATCTGATGCAAACAAGTAGGAAACTTCACTGTTGAGCTTGCAATAACTGCCCAACAAATTTATTTATATTAACATCTGATCATAAACCATCATTTGAAAACAAAATTCCATACAATACCTCAGATCCTCAACTGGTCATTCAATTTATAGTTGCAATATCATCAATAATTTCCACCTAAACTCAACTACGCATTTTTCTTCATTCTGTTCTATCTAGGGCCACATACATCATGAGTTAGGAACCTAGGATCAGCTACATCTCTACCTCTACATATAAACATAACACATTTATTTATTGACAGTATATTTTTAAGATTGTGAAAGAAAGCAGATTCTACATTCTTATCAAATATTCAGATACATTATCTAGTTTCTCACATTAATGTCATTTTAAACATCTTAACTCTTTTGAATTCATTCTACTACATTATGATATCTGGTTGAACATGCAGAATATATATCCCCCCCCCCCCCCCCCAACAAAAAACAGGTATCCCCATAGACCTAAGTGCACAATATTCTGGTCACTATATCTATTTCCCCACAAAGTAGACCGAATTTTAAATTATAGTCTTCAATGCACAATCAAAATTATAATATTGTGACATGTTGGCACATGAATCGACATCTCTGCTGTAAGGAAAAAAATGGTAGAAAAGTAAGAGAAATGAATTTAAGATGGATTTGCATTTAATATGTCCAACAATATTAGTACAAAACCATCCATGTTGCAGGAGAATTTAAATAGTCTACTTAGGCCAAACATCCAACCATTCAGCAAGTCAGTCATTCAATAACATATTTTCCATGTATGCTACCAGATTGATAGAATTTCTTTTTTTCTTTGAAAAGCTGATTTGACCACATTCTGATCATCAAGGTCAATTATTAAAATGATTAAGTATATTGATGCACATATCTAACCCTTTTCTAACATTGGTAATGTAGATTTGGTGCTGGAGCTGTAGCAAAGGAGCTAAAGCATACTTGCAATGTGTTATTTGATCGTATCATCTACGTTCTTATGCATTTGTGAGTGATTTAAGTGGTCCTGAACCCAAGGAGATGGGAACTGTATGAGTTATCCATCTTATCTCTTTGTATAATAATAAAGCTGTGAGCAGTCAGCATCATGTAACCATCTTGATTAGTAAACATGATTGGTATGTTTGCATGTTCCATTTTGATTATTTAATTATTATTTTCTTTGCAAACAAGTAAATATTCAGGAAATTAGTTTCTTCAGACATAAGAAATGTAGGAGTATTATGGAAGGACCTAGCGTTGGGCATCTTATCCCAAATCAAAAGTAAGATGAAATGTGAAAAAAAGGAAGTTATTGATATAACCAAAGGTCCTACAGTCTAGGTCATTTATAACTGAAAAAATTCAGGTTGATAAAAGGGAACAGACACTAACAAGTCAGATTTGTTAACTAAGAGGATAGAGAAGAGGAAAGGAGATTAATAGATGAAATTAAAACAAAGCCTTTTGATGCAGGGCAGCTTAGGGGCTGTTCTGGATCTGAGTTTGGAGGCTGTTTAGGGGTGTTTATGGTTGTATTGAAATCGGTTTCTGCTGGACTACAAGGAAATGTGTGGGTAGAATTCTAGGAGTCACACCTAGAAGATAGAAAAACCTAAGCTTCACAACTAGAGTTCTTAAGAGTCACAACTAAAGGAGATTGAGTCACACAATCAAAAGCAAAAAGCTTAAAATTATTTGATATTATTGCATTCTGAATATTGAAAGACTACATTCTGAATTTATAGAATTGTAGAAGTCCAAATCCAATTACGGCAAGGATTCCTAAAACTCCTACATAACTATTCTTAACTAGACTAGGAAAACCTATAACTATTCCTATTTTAGAATAGGAAAACTAAGGTAGTATTTGATAAAACTAAAAATTAAGTGCTGAATTTGTTAATCTTGAATAATTAAGTACTATTACCGACAAACTGTTTGGTATTTACTAAAAATCAAGTGTTGAATATGCTAAATATAATAAGGTTGTTTGATAAGTACTGTTGCTGAATATATTAAGACTATATACATGACAATTTTAACCTTACAATTATAAGGTGATATTTTTTAACACAAATAAAAATATATACATGTTTGTGTATATAAATAAATAAAAATGATTATTAATAAAAAAATTAAATACGGTTTTTTGTTGAATAGACAGTAGCAGAAATCAAAGAAAGGCCTGTTCAGAAATTCATGCTTCCACTTAGACAGAGAATGCTAGAAAAGGATTCAAGAAACCACACTCGCATCTGACCAAAATTAAAATATTGTTGGGTTTTTGGTTATAATGCCTGACAATGTGTGTTATGAAGGGAAGTTCTATGGGGATTTCATGAATAGAAGAGCTGGGTAGAAAAGGCAAAATAATAATGGGAGGGAGGGTAATAGGGTATGATCTGGGTAGCTTGGAAAATCTATCTGCGTTTTCTCTCTATCTTTCAGTCTATAGGAGCTATGGATATGAAAAGGCCCATAGGAGAGAGGGAGAGGGTGATGTATGCGTCTGGAGAGTGAGGGAACAGAAAGTAGTTTTTATAAGAGAAGTCCTTTTGTAAATTTATAATTTTTTTTAAAGAGAGATTTTCACCATGAATCAATAAAGCTATTTCATATCTCCTCTGTTAACTTGTTGAATCTATAAATTTTAAAATATATGAGGATAATATAATCATTTTTAAAAAGTTTTAAAAATCTTTCAACCGAGCGAGTTAATAAAAAAGTTTTAAGTTAAAAACTTTAACTTATCTAATTAAGTAGATTTTGACTAAATTTAAATTTTAAATATGAGATTATTTAAATTATCAAACAAACTTTTTGTATTAAGTAGCTTAACTTAATTTTTTAAGCTACTTAAATAGGTTATCAAACACCCCCTAACTTTAGAACTAATAAAATACTTAAACAGAAATACCATAATTTCAGATTTTCCAACAGATCTGAAATTACTATAATGCCTTAGTCAATTACTCAAATTCCCAAGTTTTCCATCATTGCCCATGTGCCAAATCAATGCTTAAGCATTGATATTTTTCTTCGATCGTTTTCTAAAAACCTTTGGGGGCTGCTGCCAACGTCTCCCATCACCTTCACTTGCTAAATTTTGCATCTCTCACTTAAGTACCACCTACCTTCTTGGACCTACAATTAAATTACGCAGTGCACATTGGTAATGATATTCTACGAGACTTGTCATTATGGCCAGTTGTGCTCTCTATTTCTCCAAATGATAGTAAATGACAATGTTACTGTTAAATCATTACAATAACTACAATGTCACCCTCCTATGCACTACGTTAAGCATATGTGATCGTCTATGGAAGGGTAGCATTGAAATGTATCTTAATATTTGATTGTAACACTGCACAATTTTGCGATAAGGGAGTAAATTGAAATCCAAGTTTTCCTTTGGAGTAAACTTGCAATTAGTTCTTTTTTTTGCGAAGTGAGCCGGTCGTGTATCAGTCAAGCCAAGGCCACTGCCAAGCCTATGCACCCTAGTTACTTCAAAATGCCCCTCAAATCACCTGTTTCATCTTTTTATGGTGTTAGGCACCTCAAATTTGCACTGGAAACTTAACATCTAAGTTTCCACAATTCGCCTACCAAAATTCATCCAAGAAAAATCATCAAGCAATCTATTTCGAACCAAATAAGATAACAAGCAGATGGTTTGAAATGGCTGCATCTGGTTCCAGACTGTTGGAGGTAGTATTAGCAAAAGCACCTAAGGTGCACCTTAAGTGCAAGGCACTAAGCCGTGAAGGGAAAGGGTTTTATGGGTCAAAGGCGATTTAAATCAAGCACACCTTAGGCAACAGAAGCACATGACTAGGGACTTACAAAGAAGAATAAAAAAGCATGCCTAATTAAAGTTCTTGTTTGTTAGGTTTCTAGCATGTGTAGTTTGATTTTTTAAATACTCTTTTACTACCCATGTGACTTCTGTTTATTTACTTGCAAGAGTGGGAGACAAATTTTTACTGGTAGTACATATGTCAGTCCACAAACTATTCTATCTTATTATAAAAGCTAAACTAGTTGCGAAAGAAACACAAAAGAGAATAAGGAGAGTTATGGTTTATTCAGCCAAAAGAATCTGACTTTTCATACAAATAATATTTTTGTTCTTTTATATTAGGGTAAATATATCCATCTGTCTTTATATAATACTTAAAGTATCTCATATGTTCCTAGATTTGTAATTGCATCCCATTTGTCCATAAAAGTGTTTGAAATGTTCCATATGTCTTTTCGATAAATTTTTCTAGCCAAATGAATTTTTTTTAATTAAAATACTCCTAATTGAAATGCAAAAATAAATAAATTTTCTAAAGATCTAAAAAATGAAACATATAGGTCATGTGACTTTAAGTGTGTTTTTTTTTTTTTTTGCATTTTAGTAAAAGGCATTTCAGTAAAACAAAAAAAATAAATTCATGATTGAAAAAATCTTTCAGGAACAGATGGTATGCAAAAGAAAATCTAGGGACACATAGGAGACTTTGAGTATTATATAAAGACAGATTGATTATTTACTCTTTAAATTATTAAGCTATTATTTTTATCACTTTCTTTTACTGTTTATTCAAATCACTCACCCTCTCTTAGTTCATGATGGTCATATTTTATTGACATAATTGATGCTAAGAAGGAAAAAAATATATATTAGTTTGTTATTTTTCTAGCTGACTATCTCTCTCTTTTCTGTTCTAATAGATTCAAAGTTTAAAAATTAATCATTTTCTAATAAATTTATTATAAAGATAAGAAACAAACACAAGTGGTATTACTATTTCTTTTTCTTTTTTTTTAAATAACATTTTTTGTGTGTTATTATATGTATATATTTATTATAGCAAGTATGCACCTTATTTTGCCTAGATGAGTGCCTGCGCCTTGCGCCTAGGCTCCAAGAATCCTTTGAACCTAAGTGCGCCTCATGCTTTAAAAACACTGGCTGGAGGTTGACTATAGGCCTGGTACCTAAACCATTAGTAAGCAATAAGTACTATCAAGGATCTGATTCTCTCAAAAATAAAAAATAAATAAAAAAAAATTACTATCGAGAATTTGGATTTTAACAGCAAGACATGTTTCTGATATAATTTGCAAGCAATTCCAGCTTTGGGCATAAACAAATAGATCTAGAACCCTCTAAGTCAAACCTCATAGCATAACATATGGGTAAAGTAGGCTAAATAGTCCACTCCAAGGTTACACTGAAAGGAGCTCTTTCGTCAGAAATCCACCCATTTCCATCCTCCAAGAATGATCAACTAGAGCTGCAAACTCCCTGGAAGAGAAACCAGAATGTGTATAAGTAAAACTAGCACCATATACATATAGTGAAAAGAAAAACAATAGATGAAGGTTCGATAAATTAGTTTGCAGAACCTGTAAATTAAATTAATATCGGATTCAAGAAATCAGGCTCAACTACAGTGCAATAAGAAGAGCTTGCTTGGTTAAGTCCTCTAAGCCTTCTAATGAGATCACCGATGTCGGTGTTTATGAACAGTTGGAACTAAAAATACAGTCATTGTAACCCATGCAACTTCTACAACCACACTCATATGCTTCTAATGAGATTACCTATGTATGGAAACAGGAACCAAAAGTACAGTTATTGGAATAGCTAAAATATGATAGCACATTAATGGCACTAGTACAAAACTGTACCAAAAAGAAAAACAGCATATTAACAGAAAAGGAAGGTGAACATCAGAAGAGTAGTTCCAAAAGGACAACTCAAATCTGGAAAACTAAGCAAACTTACTTGAGATCATGACTGACAACAAGGACAGTCAGTTCTTTCTTCAAGTGCTTCAAAAGCTTTACTACATCTGCACGTGCCTTCCAATCTGATCTCCAAAGCATCATTAATCATAATGAAATCAAATTCATTGAATTTCAGAACTTTGAGTGCAAAAGGGCCCGAATTGGATTTGAAGTTAAATGATCCAAATTGAACACAGTTGGGTTAACCTGACCAGTCTTGATAGCAGGGCGGTACCAGTCCCCCTTTCAGAGGAGAGGTCAGAGATTCCAATTGTTAAGAGTAGAGAAATGTGGTGAGGGGATGTGTAGTTTGGTATTTCTAATGATAAGAAAGGAAATAAGAGAGCATTCAAATCTATAACTTGGTCCAATGTCTAGGCACTGAAATCAAAACATGCCCAGAGTGGGCCTCTCTTGACTCTTTATAGCTAAAAATATTCTTATATTTAAAATTGGAGGAAGCTGCATTGCACTACAGAGATCAGGTGTTCTTAATTATTGATTAGCTTCACAGAAATCATACTAATCATCAACTTGAAGACAAGTAATGGTTTAGAAACCAAAAAGTGCTGTGTGTGACCCATACCTAGACCAGCAAGAGGCTCATCCAATATCAAGAGATCAGGGACTTCAACCTGAACATTAAATCGAGAACATTCATCACTCAAAGCATGCTACAGGTATAGAAGTTATACAACTACCTAATTTGTAACCGTCGATTGGAGCATCTCAACGAGTGAGGGTAGACTAACGTATAGGTTCTTACCAATTGAATAGCCAAGGCAAGCCGACGTTTATATCCACCACTTAGAGAGTGAGGATCTTTATCCAATGAGATCCCATTCAGTCCAACCTATAGTTATCCATTAAATTAAGTACTGTATTAAGAATTGGCAATGAAATGAAATATAAAAATGACAAACTCAAGAGAAAATATGATTGAAAAAGAAAAGGCAAAATATGCTCCATTTTCTCTGTTAAAAAAAAAAGGTACCCAATTTACAGCTCTTTGCAGACTCAAAGCAAGATGCTCCCTTAATTGGAAGCTGCTCTTTCGCCTTGGCCACCCAAATGTGACTTCATCAACAATAGTGTCAGCCACAAAGTACCTAGCTTGCAGCAAACAACGTTCTTAAAGCTTCAACAGTACATAAACATAAAGCAAGTGTAGCATAGTTCAACAAGGAAGGCAAACGAAAGAATTAGCATAGGAACATCATACATGCAACATTTAAGAAATATCATGTTTCAAAACCAGCAACCACATAACATTTTCTTCATGGATAAGATTTGTAATAAAGATGATGAAACCCATAATGCTACTTGGTTTGTTAAGAAATAACTAGATGCTCACAAATTAAAAGCTAAACAAAACGAACTCGGAAATGGCGTAATGTAGATAGCAACTGGACGCAAAACGTCCAGATTAATAAGTAATTAAATGTCCAATCACCGAAGGATGATACCTCTCGGGAAATTGAAAGACAATACCGACTCTTTCCGGAGATAGCGGTTCAGGCAACTGACTTGGATTTCCATCATTGTCATATCTTTGAACACAAATTGAACCCGATGTTGGTTTATTTATTCCCGCAAGGAGCTACAAAAAAACCAAAATTACAACTTACCGGAATGGATAAAACAACATTTCCGAATCAATTCAATTAAAAAAGAAAGCGACCGACAGTTACAAACCTGCAAGAGCGTAGTTTTTCCACTTCCACTTTGACCAAAAATCAAGCCAAAACTACAACAATCAAAAAAATAATAAACCATTATTTAATTAATTTATCAACAACCAATCACATAACAATTAATTACGAGTTGACTAAATAATTACCTTTTCTCTGGAAGCGAAAAGGTAACTTTATTTAAAAGATTAAGCTCAGTGCCTGGAGGCCTATAGCTAACATCCTTAACCTACAATCACCACGTAGCAATTTCAACTAAACCTATAGTAATTAACTATTAATCAAAAGAAAACAAGAAAGCAGAAAATTACTTACTTCAAAGCAAGAGTAACCGCAGGAGATTTTAAGATTTCGAGGAATTGCAATCAAATTAGGTTTAGGTGACATTTGTGGTGGTGATAATCGCAAGATTTTGTGATTAAGTGAGGATTGGATTGTTGATAAAGTAGGAGTCGCCATCTCAGAGGCGGGAGTTTCAGATACAGCGACTCAACTGTGTGTGGATTTATAAGGGATGAAACGCATTGTCGTTTTCTGTGCTAGCCGGCGTCGTTTTTTGGTAGGAATGAACTAAACTCTTAATTAACCTCCACTTTTCTCTTCTTCTTCTTTTTTTTTTAAAAAAAAATGATAGAACTTTCGGAGGTTTGCTACGATTACTTCAAAACATTATTATAATTATAATGTATTTAAGTATATAAAATAATAAAATAAATGGATAGAGAAGAGGAAAGGAGATTAATAGATGAAATTAAAAGAAAGCCTTCACTTGCTAAATTTTGCATCTCTCACTTAAGTACCGCCTACCTTCTTGGACCTACGATTTTATTACGCAGTGCACATTGGTACTGATATTCTACGAGACTTGTTATTATGGCCAGTTGTGGTCTCTTATTCTCCAAATGGTAGTAAATGACAATGTTACTGTTAAACCGTTACAATAACTACAATGTCACCCTCCTGTGCACTACGTTAAGCGTATGGGATCGTCTATGGAAGGGTAGCATTGAAATGTTTCTTAATTTTTTATTGTAACACTGCACAGTTCTGTGCTAAGGGAGTAAATTGAAATCCAAGTTTTCCTATGGAGTAAACTTGACATTGGTCCTTTTTTCCTGCAAAAGTGAGCCGGTAGTGTATCAGTGAAGCCAAGGCCACTGCCAAGCCCAAGCACCCTACTTACGTCAGAAGGCCTCTTTCATCTTTTTATAGTGTTACGAATTTGTTCTGGAAACTTAACATCTAAGTTTCCACAATTCGCCTACCAAAATTCATCCGAGAAAAATCATCAAGCTATCTATTTTGAATCAAAAAAGATAACAAGCGGATGGTTTTAAATGGCTGCATCAGGTTCCAAAGTTTTGGACGTAGTATTAGCAAAAGTGCCTAAGGTGCGCCTTAGGCTCCGATTGTTCGATGGAAAACAAGTTCTATAGGAAAATTAATTTCTTAGAAAGTTATTTTTTTGAAAATTATTTTTTAAGAAAATATTTTTTACTGTTTGACAATTATATGAAAAAGCTACTGAAAAATATATTTCAACATTTATTTGATACAAAAAATTAAAATACAAAAACTTATGTGATTGTTATATCAACAAGTTTTGAGAAAATTTTAAAAAGACATTCATAATTTCATAATATAAGATACATTTAGAAAAATTTAATAAATTTTCATCAATACTAACTCTAAAATTTTAATTCAAAAAATAAAATGTATTTTTTTAACAATCAAACCAAATCATCAAAATTACTTGGGACAAAATTAAGTCAATATTCATATTTGGTAAAAAAAGATTCTAAGTAATCTTAGCATTATTATTTTAGTAACTCAATTAAAAAAATTTTTTTAAAGAAATTGAATTGATAATTTAGTCTAAAAAATAATTTGATAAATTATTTGTTATCATCTATAGATAATTATTTATTTGATCTCAAAAGATTAATGTTGGAATAATTTGTAACTAATTATTCATTACAATTATCAACAAAATTTTACAATTGATTAAAATTATAAATTATTGATTTAATTGCAAATGAATAGTGTTGAAAAAATAATGTATTTATTGATGAATTAATTAATTTTAATATTTTTTTACAAAAAATTATAGTCTTGTAATAATCATTTTCAATCATTTTACTATAGCTTAGGTAGTGATTGAGACAATAGTAAAAAAAGAGATAAGTTATTGAAATATTCATTATAAAAATAATTTTAAGGTGTAAAAATGGTTTTTAAGAATATTTAATGTATTTATAAATCAAAAAATCAAATATTAGTAAAGATAGAGAAAAATAATTAAATAATTAATAATAATTGATAAGAAATAATTAAAAATTAATATGATATATTTTAAATAAAAAGAAGATAGAGAAAAAAATTGTTAAAATATATCGAGAGAGAGTTATGTAACGAGAGAGCGAGACGACTCATGAGAAGGAAAATGTTTTCCTCTTTTGAAACTGGTAAAACATTTTTCCAAAATTACTCTATCATTTTCCGTTGACTGGAAATCATTTTCCATTGACTTTTTTCCTGAATGTGAAACAAACATCGAAAAATGAGGAAAACAAGTTCCGGGAACTTGTTTTCTCCCAAACAAACGCAACCTTAGACTCCGTTTGTTTGACAAAAAATAACTTTCAATAGAAAAAGTAATTTTAGAGAATCTATTTTCTAGGAAGGTGTTTTTCAAAAAAAAAATTTATGACATTTAGTAATTACATAAAAAAAACTACTAAAAAATATATTTCGGCGTTTGTTTGATATAGAAAATTGAAATACAAAAATAGACTATGATTATTACATCAACGAGTTTTGAGAAAACTTTAACAAGACATATTTACAATCTTACAATACAAGATACATTTAAAATTTGAATAAATTTTTATAAATACTAACTTTAAGATTTAAATTCAAAAAAAAAATGTATATTTGTAATCATCAAACCAATTCATCAAAACTACTTGGAACAAGATCAAGTTAATATTCATATTTAGTTAAAAAAAAACTAGTTTTTTTACCTACGCTATGCTTTGCGAGTTAGATAAAATATATGAAATCATTTTAAAAAACCATTTCAGTTTAATAGTCTATGTTATAATATTAATCTATAAAAATATATGAAATCAAATGTGAAAAAATTATTTATAATTTTTTAATCAAAATTTTGTGTTTAACTATTTCTTTTTTTGCCATAATTTTTCTTTAAGAAAAAAGATTTATCCTTGTTAATCCATGGATTATAAAATAAAAAGAAAATTAAATTAAAAAATTTTAAAAAGCTTTAGCATTTCATAAGATTGTGTCGAAAAACTAAAATAAGAATTAATAAAAACTTAAATAGAATTAAATAAAAAAATTATTTATTATTTTTATTTAATGTTGATGAGAATATCGATTTTTGAAAGAATGTGAATTTAATTTTTATATATTTATTCATAAAAGAATGAATAATATTAAAATGAAAAACTATATTAATTTGAATTATTGAGTGGTTAAGCCGAAACATAATTTTAATTATTTAATTTAAAATAAATAAATTTTAAAATATTAATAAATAAATAAATAGTAGATGCTTAATATAGTAGTAGTTGCACAATTAATTTCTAAAAAAATAACAATTCAATATTTTTTTATACATCATAGTTATACTTGAGTGGGTTCGAAGCTTTCGAGCATAAAATAAAAAATACTATAAAAAAATTAACTTGCAATGAGAAATAGTAAATTTTAAATAATAAAAATAATTAATAAAAAATATTAAAATAAAATGGGATCAAATCACAATACAATTGAAGTTTGAAATTAAAAAAAAAAGTGCATAGAAAAATTAAGAACCGAGTGTTATAAAAATGCCATAAATAGTGAAAGGAATATTGATTTGTGTATATGAATAGAGTTATGAATAGTAAATACACATTTTGTTTTAATCTAAAAATGCATTTTAAACAAATTATATATATATTAATTATGCCACTATAATTTAAAAATGATCTAAATCTATTTTTCAAAAAAGAAATAATCATGTCGTAAAAATTTATTCCAAAATCCATACATATAGAAAAATAAATCAAAACTTTTAGTAAATGTAATTTTATATTAATTGGATGAGAATTTAAAAAAAATGACAAATTAAAATAGTGAATTTTAAATAATAAAATTCATTAACAAAAAACACTAAAACAAAATGAGACCAAATCACAAAACAATTGAAGTTTGAAATTGAAAATAAAAAATACATAGAAAAATTGAGGACCAAAGTGTTAGAAAAATACCATGAATAGTGAAAGAAATTATGATTTGTGAGTATGTGAATAATGTTATGAATAGTATACACATATTTTGTTTTAGTGTTTTTTTTATAATAATTTCTAAGTAATCCTAGCATTATTATTTTGGTAACTCAATTAAGAATTCTTTTTTTAAAAAAAAAGTCAAACCGATAATTCGAGTCTAAAAAATAGTTTTACAAATGATTAGTTATTATTTATAGATGATTATTTATTTGGTTGAAAAGATTAATGTTGGAATAATTTGTGACTAATTATTGACTACAATTACTAACAAAATTTTACAACTCGATTAAAATTAGTCACAAATTATTGATTTAGTTGCAAATGAATAATGTTGAAAAAATAATGTATTTATTAATGAATTAATTAGTTTCAAATTTTTCACAAGTGATTGATGTTTTGTAATAATCATTTTCAATAATTTAAGTATAGTTTAGGTGGTGTTTGGGATAATGGTAAAAAAATAGAGATAAATTATTGAAATATTTATTATAAAAATAATTTAAGGTATAAAAATGGTTTTTAAGAATATGTAATATATTTATAAATCAAGAAATCAAATGTTAGTAGAAATAGAGATAAAAAACAAACAAATAAATAGTTAATAATAATTGATAAGAAATAATTAAAAATTAATTCGATATGTTTTAAATAAAAAAAGATAAAAAAATTATTAAAATATATTAAAAGAGAGATAAGTAATGAGAGAGTAAGATAGTTCGTGAGAGGAAAAAATATTTTTCTCTTTTTAAACTCAAAAAACACTTTCTTAAAAATAACTTATCAAATTTCATTCACCCAAAATAGAATTCTATAAAACAAATATCAAAAAATAGAGAAAAATAAGAAAAACGAGAAAAGCAACTTCGTGAAACTTATTTTTTAACAAACATAATCTTAAGTTTAAAGCGCTAGCCGCGAAGGGAAAGGGTTTTACGGGTCAAAGGGGATTTAAATCAAGCGCACATTAGGCAAGAGAATCTCACACGACTAGGGACTTACAAAGAAGAACAAAAAAGCTGAGTACAAAGTACGTCACTCCACAAACTATTCTATCTTATTATAAAAGCTAAAGTGGTTGTGAAAGAAACACAAAATAGAATAAGGAGAGCTATGGTTTATTCAGCCAAAAGAATCTGACTTTTCATACAAATAATATTTTTG